CAATTACCATCCATCTGAATGAGTAGTTCAGACTTGACTCTGCGACTTGCCTCATGTTCATCAGAGGTTCCTCTTCGACTGCAGATGGAATCTATCTCATCAATGAAGATTGTGGTAGGGGCATAAAATCTAGCCTTTGGGAAAATATTTTAAAGACATAATTCAATGATCTCATAAAATAATCTGAATATTTTTTAAAATACCATTTTCTAGTTTTAAAACAATGGCAAAAGAGAGTAGAAATTTCTCACTGTTTTAATGCCACCATCTGGTTATTGACAGAGGCTAAATCAATCATTCCCATCAGAAAAAAATTTATAAAAATGAAAGTTATATGGTTTGTAAAGTTAGGTGACAGATATATGGGGATTCACTATACTATTCTTTCTACTTTCATGTTTGGAAATTTCCATAATGAAAATTTTTTTTTAAAAAAGAAATCAACCTCTTATTCTCAAACATGCATTCTTTAGTAATTATTGCAAACCCCTTATGAAAAAGGAACAAACTTTAAAGACAGATCAGTTTCTGACTGATTTTTCAAATATATATTAAATTCTTCTTCTACTCCATCAGCTCACTAGTGATCCAGAAATACCAATCAGTCTACGACCATACCACCCTGAACGCACCCAATCTCGTCTGATCTTAGAAGCTAAGCAGGGTTGGGCCTGGTTAGTACTTGGATGGCAGAAATACCAGTCAACCCACAAACATGACCTAAGTCTCCTTCTCTACTCTCACTGGACAGGATGCTAAAGGACATTCTTTTACCTCGGAGAGAAAGATACATTGAAGACACACCAACTATCCCACAAAACCCACCAGCCATGACTTGCTAGTGTGTCAAGAACTATTAAAAGACAACTACATTGCCCTTTTCAAAAAAGATTCCTAGGTGAACAGACCTAGATTTATAGGGGCATCATACACCCATACAAATAGTACTTTGAAATCTGAATGTATCATCACTCACCATTTCAAACAACAGACGGACTAACTTCTCAGATTCACCTCTATATTTAGATGTCAGTGTAGAAGAGGAAACGTTGAAGAATGTCGTACCACATTCAGTAGCAACAGCTTTAGCTAGCATAGTCTTTCCAGTGCCTGGGGGTCCAACCATCAGTACACCCTGACATTTCAAAAGATGAATTAAATGATTTGTAAGATTAAAATGTTTTTTATAAATTATCAACTATTAATGTGCATAAAGATTTTCCCATCAAAAGATAAATTACTCAATTGTCACAGTAAAATGGTGTATTTGCCAAGAGTATCATTTTATAGGTTAAAAAAATGAAGAATGATTTCACAAAATGTCTCAAATCAGAGGTGGTCAGAAAAAAGCTAACACAGGGCCTAGACAACAAAGAATTTTCTCATGTATTTAGAAAGAACCTGCCTGATTTTCCTGAACCTGGCACAAGATACATATATTCACATATACATTCTTGAGCGCTGCTTAAGAGTGACTACTCTGTTTAAACATAATGAAAATAAGAAGACATTTTCTATCACATGTAGCAGAATTATACACTCCTTGTCCTCCATATGGGACAAAACCTATCTTCCACAATGCATTTATAATATACAGCTTTCAGTCAAAAATAAAGATCCATTTATGAGTTAATAAGGTAACAGTAAAATCCAGTGATGATTCAAGCAGAATCAAATTGGCTAGAATTTTATCAGTTTAATGTGCTAGACAGTTTATATAAAATAGTGTTAGTAATAAGTCACTAAATATAGCCTAAAAACTTAAACTTATTAGTTTAGTTTAGACTAAAAACTAAACTTATTTAGTTACTTATTAGCTTTGAAAACAAACATAAAAGTTATTCTATAAAAACAAATCCATGAATAAAAATTATGCAAGGAAACCAATCCCCTAGTCTTAAAAACTAATGGATTTTTAAATAATTATTTTCTTCTAACACTTTTATTGCGAATTCAGATTCATACCTAACACTACGTTTCTTTTGCATAATAGTTGGTGATTCCTTAAGAGAAATTCTGATCCAGTTGCTAATTTACTCTGATAAGGTTCTGGGGTTTAAACTTTGGAATTATGTATATGTCAAAGTTTCATAAATTCACAAACTATTCAAACCCTTTTCTAGCTATAGAATTTTGATACATAGAACGACCAGGAGTCACTAGGACTTGAAATACTACTTTTACAAAAATTTTCTTTTGCCTTTTAGGGAGCCCTTAACTGTGTGCGAGATTGAGATTCCGAAAACTATGAAAACTGACTTGATGCTATAGGTACTGCTATAGGTATGGCTATAGCAAAGTTCCTATTTCTCTTTCTAGTAACACCTCTCTCCTGTAATGTCATTAATATACTCACCTCCAAGAGTAATTTCTAACATTAGCATCTGTACATAGATACAGGTCATAGATATAGTACAGTATTTATAAATTTCACTTCCTCATGATGTTACTCCTTCAATTATCTCCTCTCTTTCCAGTATCTCCTTCACTATTGGCTCTTTCTCCTCAGTATATAAACATATTTAAATCTGTCCCCTCCAAAAAAAAAAAAAAAGCCCTTGGGGAAATCCTGGACAGTCTCTTCAATAATGGTGCTGGGAAAACTGGATAACCACGTGCAGAAGAATGAAACAAGACCCCTATCTCTCATCATATACACAAATCAAATCAAAATGGATTAAAGACTTAACTCTAAAACCTAAAATGATGAAACTACTCAAAGAAAATACTGGGAAAATGTTCCAGCTTTAACTGGAACATAGCTTTAACTATGCTACCTACCAGCTCAAAGAGGTCTCCCCAATGCCTAATAGAAAAGGGTCAAATACCTAGCAAACACAATCTGGCTTCAACCTACCTTTCCATTTGAATCTCCCACTAATGTATTTTATTTATTTAACATTTACATAGGCTAATTATTGTCAGATACTGTTCTAAGGCCTCAATAACTCATTTTAACCTCTTGATATCCTATGAGATGACTATTATTATTTCCATTTTATAGAAAAGAAAACTAAGGCACGGAGAAGTTTAGTAACTAAAATCTATTTACTGACTCATTTTGGAAATAATCTTCTATTCTCACAAATATCTAAGAATCTCAAACATAACCTTCTAAAAAAGAACAATAATTCTATATTCCAGAATTTTA